TTACTAGAAGAAAGTATTCTTGTGTTGAGGGAGTACTTGAGTGGAGGCCCAATGTCCTTCTGCTACCTTAATACTAAACCTATAGATGTAGGTTCATAGATCTATTTCCCCATCCTCATATATTTGTCTATGTACATGTCTTTATCTAGAGCTCTATAAATACCCTTTGCCTCCCAGCTCTTTCCATATTTGCTAATTTATAATGAAAAAATACATATCTATGTAAAAAATTAATTAAATCTCAGATAGTATGAAGAATGTAGATAATTAGCAGAATTCTTAGTAACTTATAGAAATGTACTTTATTTCATGCAAAACTACATAATTTTCTACCTCTTAACAGTTAATCAAAAGAACATTTCCAAAAATTCATTACACCAACAATAATTTAAATACTATAGAACTGCAGGTCAATGAGTTTGTCAAAACCAAACTGGAAGAACATTATGCACAGAGAAGGCCCAAGTTGCCAACTTCCTATGAGGTAGCACTTGGAGGCCTTTTCTAAATCCATATTTGCAAATGGAGAGAGAATCTGAGAAGAGAGTCAGTAAGCCTTCAACTCACTGGCCAGGTGAGAAAATAATCGTCACTAAGCAGCAGGCAGTAGTATTTGGCATCACATACCAAAATTGAACAGTTAACCATTTGAAAAATTACAATTAGATGTACATTTGAAAAGACGTATCCTTTTACTTCAGTCACTGGAATTAGATCAACCATTGAATATCTTAACAATGAGATGAAGAAATTAGGCTGGTCCATCTAGACTCTAGATTCTAGAGCAGTGGTTCTCAACCTGTGGGTTGCGACCCCTTTGGGGGTCAAACGACTCTTTCACAGGGGTCACCCAATTCATAACAGTAGCAAAATTATAGTTATGAAGTAGGAATGAAAACAATCTTATGGTTGGGGGTCACAACATGAGGAACTCTATTAAAGGGTCGTGGCATTAGGAAGGTTGAGAATCACTGTTCTAGAGGATGCCGAGAACGTATAGGCATATTTCAAATTCATAGTGGGTTGCTGAACTTCAGATAATGTTGTCCTGTGGAAATAGGTTCTTAGAAGAACTTAAGTGAGAAAATTTTGAAAGCGATACTACAGTTGTTTCCTTATGAAAACATTCTATAAAAATTAAATACCAGGAAGCAATAACATCAATATTAGAGACCATTTCTGTCCTTTTCAATGGTATAATTTAAAACTATATATTATATTACAGCAGTTTGAAAGATAGGTGCACATATTCTCTACTTCCTAAAGTGAGAAAAATCCTTCAAGTTGTTATAAAATATGAACAAAAACAAATCCATTGGATTGCTTGAAAAAAAAAACCACATTGTTCCCCCCCACTCGTTGGTACACTGTGTAGGGAAGATGCTAGCCAGCATGCTTTTGAGAAATACACTTTCACTGACGAGGCTGACAGGATTTATGTGAGCAATATTGACTCTAAATTATGTACAGCCAGCCCAAGATTTAATATTATTTTCACAAGTCTGCTACTTACATTATTCTCATAGTAAACCACTCTTTCTAACTTTGCATTTAATACAGTCATATTCTCCTTTTACCAAGAAAAGTGTTGCGATCAAGACAACCACAAAAGAAAAGGCTTTCCAGTGAAAAGTTCATTTCCCCTCAAGGAATGTGTTAAAAGCAAGCGACCTGCCAATCTTCATGTGTTATTAACGAAGTGTAAAAAATGTTCAATTACACTGAGGAAATGAAACGCTGAGGAAATCCAGGCTGCTCCGGGCCATGTCAGGGCAGAGTGTTCCCAGTGCTGAGCACGGGTCAGGGGAAGGGGGCAGAGGAAAGACTGCCTGGTCTCCAGGACTTGGGAAAAGGCCCGATTTCAAGTCACTGGCTAAAAAGAAGCACCTCACAGAGGGGCACCCTAGTTTGGAAGGCATCCTGTTACCCTCTTGCATTGTTCCCAGCTCTCCTAAGGGATATTTTGACAGCTGTGTATGCTATTAGAAGTCCTCTTCATAAAAAGAAGACTGGAGGCTAATGCTTTTATTTATTTCCTTAGCAATCACCTGTACTTTGGAAGTTTACTTGTATCCCAAGCATTGCACTGGAAAGAACTCATTTTACTGACGTTGCCTCCTAAGTGACCTAAAAGACATCACTTGAGACGGCCAGTGCACATTTGCATTCAGTTACAGCTTAGCTGTCAGCAGCATCGGCTACCCTACTTCAGGTGCAATACTGCTATTTCATGTAGTGGGGTCTGTAGTCAGAACCAGTTCCTTTAATTATACTGCTCATTCAGAACGACTGTGTACAGTACACAAAACAAAGGGAAGGGAAATGTCAGTCATTAAAAAGTCTAAAGAGAGGAAAGGGCAACCCCACCTACCCCAATTTGTACATTTCTCAATGTTTAGCATGTGCTTTGACACAATCCATTATATTTTGAGATTCAAGTGTGTTAAGATTTCTTTTTAAGGAAGATGTTTTATATTTAACCATGCAATGATCTAGCCTAGCCCACAAGCTCACATCTCTGTTCAGAATGAACTACAATTGTAGAGGGTTTGTTTTTCCTTTACTATGGTAATCAATAACCATCAAGAACACTCTTTAAGCTTACTGGAGGTTTTTTAAAATGAGGCTTACTATTGCAAATAAATGAAATTTCATTAAAATGCTACCCCAAACCAAGCCCACTGCCATCGAGTTGCCCCCAACAGACAATGGCCCAACACAGTGACCCTAGTGCAACATTTTTGAGACTGTTAATCTTTATGGGCGCTCCAGTCTCACTTGGAGTAGCTGGTGGGTTTGAACAGCTGATCTTGCAGTTAACGAGCTCGAAGCCTAACCCAGACAGCTACCAGAACTTCTTTGTTGTCCCCATTTAACTTAGGCATAGATCCAGCTTAGACCTCAGAACGGATAATCCATTCAAGTGGTATAATTACATGTGATCCAAGAACAAATTAAGTTTTGGACTCCCGGATTCTTTTATCTATTCTTTACAAAGTGCAGATTATTTTATCTATTCTTTACAAACTTGGTGTTAAAGTTTATTCTGAGACTTGTGTATGCATTTGGCAAGGGAGCAAATTATAATAATTTGGCTAGTACTTTATTTTATACTTAAGGATTTTGGTGTTTTTTTTTAACAAAAAAATGCTGTGTTGATAATGTCACTGACGCAGTGGAAAAAAAAGTTAATCAGCAATTTATAGGTAAGTCATGAAATTAAGAGATTATTACTTCCTATTAATTTGAGGTTATTGTGAATTACTAGCTTACAGAGTATTTTGACCTAACTATTATTTTAAAGGTAATTTCAAAAACTCTAGTTACTTATTAAAAAAGACATCAAAAGTGACAAAAGTAGTTCTTCAAGACTCCCTTTGCCTGTGAAGTATATGAATTTAGTAATCTTTTGCAATAAATGTCATTCAATTTAAATAAACTCTTCAAAAGAGAAATCTCTTGTATGTACTATTGTTTAGCTCACAAAACAGATTCTGTTTAAAGGATGAATGATGAAACGTTATAAAGAAAATGGTTTTCACAGGACCTCTGATGAATTATTTCAGAGTTTTCTACCTGGGATCTTGTTTCGTTGTAATAATAAGGGGCCAGACTGATTAATGACACCTTTAACACCTTTAAGCACCACTGGTAAAAATAGCTGGGCTTATGATTTACTTTGTTTTGTATTTTTCAGTGGTATCGTATATACATCAAAGCAATACCTCTACAATGGCTTTGTGAGGTAGAATGCAGATAATAGTTTTATCTTCATTTTGGAAATGAAGAAACTGAGGCACAGAAAGGCTATGTGATTTGCCCAGGGTATTCAGTGAGTCAATCAGGAGGTTATAAACAGTACATGACTATCTCTGCTCTTGGTCTAGTGCTCTCTGACCAATCTTCACCAGAAAGGGCTCTGTGTACATGTATGTGCATTCAAAGGAAGGGTTTCTATGACCTTGGATTCTGAAATATTCCACTGATAATCATTTTATAGGGGATCTCAAGCTCAAAGATCATAAAAATTCAAGAAAAATTGGTAAGAAGTGTGACACGACTACTTTCAGTACCCAGAGGGAATCGTATCTTTAAAGAGAAGTACGATTACACTATTTAAAGAGAAAAATAAAAATTCATACATGATTTAGAAATTACCTTCAGGAAGCAAACAATCTTATCATTAGAGTAACTACACAGTTTCTCCTCAAACTGGGACAGCCCAGTGTGAAAGTGAGCAACAGTAACGATTCTCTATAACAAGTGTTCAACAGGGACTGTACTAGTATATGATGTAACTCTTACAATTTGAAACAATTTCAGGGATATAAAGACTGTAAGCATACTGCACTTCAACTAGGTTCACTCTGCATAAAACACTGGTACTTTCAAATGCAATACCGGACTTTGGCTTAAACACACACACTCAAAAAATCAATGTTTAAATAACCAACAAGTTATTGAACACATTTCCATTCCAATTTAGCTTTCAGCTTTTGAAACAACTACAATTTTGGGGTTAGTAACAGCAGTGAGTGGTTTTGTGTTTTCCCTTTGTCCATCATCAGATTTGTTTTTCTAATAAAAATATAAAGCAGGCGCCTCAAAAACTCAGGACATTTTGTGGGACTCTTTGGCTATTAAAAAAAAAATCTAAAAACAAAAACATTCCTTGAAAGGAATGATCAGCACTTATGTTAATATGTTAAATGATAAAGGCAAACATTTCTCTCTGAAATAAAAATCTTTTACAAAGCAATATCAAAGTGCAAAAGAATTCCCAGTTACTACTAAATACAGAAAGAATGAGGCATCACCTGATTATTCTACAAGTTGCAAAGATATTATCACTAGCAGTTGAAGGATAATCTTAATTATGCATGCAAAAACTTGGCTGATTTTGCAGAGTTAAAAAAGAGCCTTGCTCTAAGACATGGGTTTTGTGAGTAGGATTATGATTTGAGGTCTTTCTTCACTTGCATCTCTTTGGGAAGTGCAAGGGGGCTTCAAAAAGTATGTGGCAAATTCCATTGTCTTTTGATTCTATGTCCCACAAACTTTTTGAAGACCTCTTACACAGTTGGAACACTTTCTTTAGAAACAGTTATATATATATATACCTCTCATTATGATTTATAGCTTACATGGACCTTGGGAAAAAAACCAAAAACAACTTTCCTGAAAAAATTAAATGAAGCTGAACTTCATGCTCTCAACATATGCTGTTGTGTTTTTTTTATCACAAATTGTATCGTTTCAGGATAACTGTACTTCTAAGGCAGATACTCAAAGAATGTTATATAGTAAATGCTATTAGGAAAGATGATGTTCTAGTCAATGAACAGTAGACAAGCTATTATTACTAGGAAGTAATTCTCTATGCCTTTTCCCCATTACTCTGATACTTTTTTACCAGGAACACAGAGTAAGCTTTACACACACAGATGTTCACAAAGGCTGTAACTGATGTGCTGACGTCAACTCATTGTTCCATATATCCTTTCAGACTTTAGACATCATCAAATATTCTACTGCGAGACATTGAGAGGTACCGTCCTCCAGGCTGATATCTGAAAGGCACACAGACAGACAGACAGAAAGAGAGGACACATTAATAGAGGAGAGGAAAACAAGAACACAGCATAAAAGAAAGTGCCTACAAGCTTTGAGTCCACACTGTGAAATCTACCTAATAGTTTAAAGCAGAAGCTTGCCCTTCATGGGTCTTATATCAAAGAGATTTTAACAATTATAAAATTAAACATTGCTTTAGAATTTAGAATATATGCCATGACAGAAGGAAAGATGTAAAATATCTAAGACATATAAAAAGCTTCTCAATTGAATAACCACTTTCCAAATGTTGAATAAAAACATAATATCATTGTGTGCTCACCTCCATGATACAATCGCCGAAGACAAATGGGTGCATAAGCAAATGTGGCAAAGAAAGCTGATGGTGCTTGGCTATCAAAAGGTATAGTGTCTGGGGTCTTAAAGGGTTGAAGGTAAACAAGCGGCCATCTAGCTCAGAAGCAACAAAGCCCACATGGAAGAAGCACATCAGCCTGTGCAATCATGAGGTGTCGAAGGGATCAGGGATCAGGCATCATCAGAACAAAAAAATCTTACCATAGCGAATGAGAGGGGGGGGGGAGTGCGGAGTGGAGACCCAAAGCCCATTTGTAGGCCACTGGTGATCCCCTTGCAGAGGGGTCTCGGGGAGGAGAAGAGCCAGACAGGGTGCAAAGTAGCAATGATGAAAACTACAACTTTCCTCTAGTTCCTAAATGCTTCCTCCACCCCCACTATCATGATCTGAATTCTACCTTGCAAGTCTGGCTAGACCAGAGGATGTACACTGGTACAGATAGGAACTGGAAACACAGGGAATCCAGGGTGGATGATCCCTTCAGGACCAGTGGTGTGAGTGGTGATACTGGGAGGGTAGAGGGAGAGTGGGTTGGAAAGAGGGAACCGATTACAAGGATCTATATGTGACCTCCTCCCTGGGGGATGGACAACAGAAAAGTGGGTGAAGGGAGACTTCGGACAGGGCAAGATATGACAAAATATTTAATAATTTATAAATTAACAAGGGTTCATGAAGAAGGGGGGAGGGAGGGGAAAAATGAGGACCTGATGTCGGGGGCTTAAGTGAGGAGCAAATGTTTTGAGAATGATGAGGGCAATGAATGTACACATGTGCTTTACACAATTGATGTATGTATGGATTGTGATAAGAGTCACATGAGCCTCTAAGAAGATGATTTAAAAAACCCAAAAAAACCACATAATGTTCTAGCCTTTTTTTGGTGTTTCATTCCTGGCGATGCTGAAACATATCTCCTGAGTATGCTGACTTCATGTTGTTAGGTGCCATTGAGTAGGCTTGGACCCACAGTGACAACAATGACAGTGACAACCCACTCTTCTGCTCCACCTTCACAATCGCTCCTCTGCCGGAGGCCATCAATGCAGCCAGTGTCAATTCATCTCCTTGAGGGCCTTTCCCTTTGACCAAATAAGATGTGCTCCTCCAGGGACTGGTCTCTCTTGACAACATGTCCAAAGTATGTAAAGATGAAATCTTGCCATCCCTGCCTCTTAAGGGGCACTCTGACCTTGCTTCTTCCAATACATATCGGTTTGTCCTTTTAGTAGTAGTTTCAATATTCTTGTCCAGCACCACAATTCAATTGCATAGATTCTTCTATGGTCTTCCTTAATCAATGTCCAACTTTCACATGCATATGACTTGAGTCAGGCTCACCTTAGTCTTCAAGGTAACATCCTTGCTCTTCAATACTCTAAAGAGGTCATGTGCAGCAGATTCCCCTAATGCAATGTCTTTTGATCTCTTGACTGCTTCTTTCATAAGCAGTGATTGTGGATGCAAGTAAGTCAAATCCTTGACAACTTCAGCCTTCTCTCCATTACTCACAATACTAACTATTGGACCAGTTGTGAGGATTTTGGTCTTCCTTACAAACTGAAGGCTGAAATCCTTGATTGCATCAGCAAGTGCTTCACTTCCTCACTTTCTGCAAGCAAGGTTGTGTCATCTGCATACCCCAGGCTGTTAGTAAGCCTTCCTCTAATCCTGATGCTGTATTCCTTTCTATATAATCCAGTTTCTTTGATCATTTGCTCAGCATATAGATTGAACAAGTATGGTGAGAGACACACACTTTTCCTGATTTTACATGATGAAGTCTTTCCCTTGTTCTGGTTGTCAAACTGCCTCTTGATCCTTCTACAAGTTCCAACTGAGCACAATGAAGTGCTGTTTACTTCCTAGACTCTGGAAAATGACATTTCCAGCAATTGACATGCAAATGTTGCTAGGGTTCTTGGGATTTATTTTAATTCTTTTCTCATTTAAGATGCCCCTGGTGATGTATGAAGTTATCAGTTTCAACTGCTACCACCAGATGCTGAACTTTTAAAGTTAAACCATTAGAGAGTATAAAAAAGGAACCAAATGTTGCCTACATGCTTTTTATTAGTAAATATGAACATTTCCCTAATATTTGCCACTTGTTTTGTAACCTAGTCATTATCCTATTAAAGTGGCAAAGGACTGGCAGAGACAATGGGTATAGCTGGGTCTAGATCTTACCTTCCTGATTCAGGGTCAAGAGGATCATCTGTGAATGTGTCCGCATTAAAATCCATAGGTTCTGGATCTTGAAGAAGTTCTATTCGGTCCCTTTCAGTCCTATTGTTATTACCCCTGGTATATTTGGATGCTGCTGCAAAGGGTGAAAAAAAAAAAGTCTACTGTCCTACTGTTTTCCAATTTACAGATTAGAGTACAGACATATTTTTTAAAAAAAACCCTGAAAGACTGTTTATAATTTTGATTATGAAGACAAAGGACATAAGAAAAGGTAAATACAGGGTCCTTTAAAAATCAGATGAAAATTAAGAAAATGAAATGACAAGCCACAAACTAGGAGAAAATCTTTATAAACTCTAATAAAGGACTACTATTCACACACACAACCCTCCCCCACACTCCCTCCACATCTCCTACTACTATTGAGCGGATTCTGACTTGTAGTACAGAGTAGAACTGCTCCACTGGTTTTCTGTGGCTACACATCTGACTGAACCAGACTGCCCATTTGGTTAGTAGCCCAATGCTCAGTCTATAATACTACCAGGACTGTTTTATATGTTATTATGGAATTAAAAATTAGAACAATACACCTATTAGAATGGCTAAAATCTCAAACACTGACACTATCACATATTGACTAGAATGTAGAGCAACAGGAACTCTGATTCAGAATAGACATTTTGGAAGATAAATTCACGTTTCCTAAAAGGCACACAGGCTTACCATATGACCTAGCAATCACGCTCCTAGGCATATACCCAAATGAGGTGAAAATTTATGTGTGGTAAACATGTGGTAAACCACACTTGAATATTTATAGCAACTTTATTATTGTACAACAATGACAACAACAGGAAAACAACCAAGATATCCTTCAGTAGGTGAATGGATAAATAACCTGTGTTCCATTCATGCAATGGAATATTGTTCAGTGATAAAAGAGTGAGTTACTCAGTTACCAAAAAAGGAAAATGTACATTGCTAATGTAAGGAAGCCAGTCTGAAAAGGCTACATAATATATATAGTTCTAACTAGATGGCATTCCTCGGGAGAAAGATGGCGCCTTCTACTCCTGTAAAGAGTTAGTCTCGAAACCCACAGGGGAAGTTCTGTCCTGTCTTATAGGGTCACTTGATGACAGTGAGTGATCTGACATACTGGAAAAGACAGAAGTATGGAGACAATAAGATTAGTAGCTGCAGGGGCTCTGGGGAGGAGAAGAGAAGGGAATGGCAATTTTAGGACAGTGAAACCATACTGAATGATACTGCTGGTCTTATGGTGGGTGCTTGGCCTTATGTTCCATACAATGAGTGAACTCTGAACTCTAATACACTATGGAGTTTAGCTACAAATGTGCCAATCCTAGTTCATCAATTATAACAAATGCACTGTCTGAACGTAAGGTGTTAATAGGGAAAACTGTTGGGGATATAAGATATATGGAAATTCTACTTTCTGTGCAGGTTTCCTATAAACCTTAAGGTACTATTAAAAAAGTTGTTTTTATTTTTTTTAAAAATGGGATCCATATTAAAAACTGTATGATAAAAAACAGCAACAACAACAAAAAATTCACTGGCTTTGCCGGTAACAGATAAAGTGTAAAGAATTAATAGGAATCAGAATCAAGCTGTAACTAATGTTCTGTTCTGTACTGTATTGTTCACATGAACAGCGAGAGCCCTGGTGGCTTTAGCACAGGTGGCTCCATTCCAAGGGAGACGGAAAGGCTGTTTGCTGAAAGAAGGGCACAGCCTACTCTATCCTAAAGGGTTGCTAAGAGTTGGAACAGACATGATGGCAGTGAGTTTGTTTGGGGTTTATGATAAAAGTGAAATTGGTCACTATCAAATCAAGTTTCAGTTGCTTCCACAGTGGGACCAGAGGTTGCTACAGCTTTCACATAATCTCAATTTTTTGGCTAGCACTTTCTTTACAGTGCAATGAACTCAGGCTTTTCAAGAAATTCCCGTCTTCCTCTATGGTAATGGTTCTCAACCGTCCTAATGCCACGACCCTTAAATACAGTTGTGGTGACCCCCAACCATAAAATTATTTTCATTGCTACTTCAAAACTGTAATTTTGTTACCGTTATGAATTTAATGTAAATATCTGATATGCAGGATGTATTTTCATTGTTATAAATTGAACATAATTAAAGCATAGTGAGTAATCACAAAAATAATATATTGTGAAATATTTCTAATTACAAATAAATGAAAATTTGTCTTGAAGTATAGTGTAGCATGGGTAAGTCTTCATGCCAGTTACTCTTGTATGTAGGCATATTTGCCTGTTGGCGGACCCGTCTGGAGATAGCAGTGTCTTGGTTCCTAAGACCATCAGAAATATGTGTTTTCTGATGGTCTTAGGCAACCCCTGTGAAAGGGTCGTTTGACCCACAAAGGGGTCGCCATCCGCAAGCTGAGAACCACTGCTCTTTGAGGTATGAGCCTAGGGCAGCAATGTCCAACAGAAATAAAATGCAAGCCACATAATTTAATTTTTTCTAGAAGCTACATTAAAGAAATAGAAAAAGCTGAAGTTGTTTCAAGTGATCAAGTGACTACTGACTATCATGCTAGTTAGCACAGAGCTAGGAAAGCTAAAGAACTAAGTCTTCTCTCCATAAACGTTGGTATTTCTTTTTAAACGACCTAAATTCTCAATATTCTGTGCAGTCCAATAGCTTAAAAATCAAACAAACAGAAACTTACTTGATATTGTTTTATTTCAAACCTTGAGGCTAGGCAATGATAGCTTACATTTTTGTCACTACTCTGTCCTATATGTAAGCATATTTATTTCTTGTTTATCCAGCAAATATTGATTTCTACTGCATGCTAAGTTCTAACTGTATCACTAAGGCTTCGTGTCTCCTTTTCTTAACCATTCTCCCACACAGAACTATTCACTCTGTTGACTTCTAAGCTTTATGAGCAAGCTTCCAAATCTCTACTGCTCCTTCCTCTACCTCCTCACAGTCATCATGTCGATGCTGACTCTGTCGACCCTTTAGGACAGGGCAGAACTGCGCCAGTGCGTTTCTGAGATTGTGACTCTTCAGGGGAGTAAAATGCCCCATCTTTCTCCCACAGAGCGGCTGGTGGTTTTGAGCTGCTGACTTTGTGGTTAGCAGCCCAATGCGTAATCACTACGCCACTGCTGGCTTCACCTAAAACTTGTCATTGTAGCCATCTCTTACTATCCTACCTGAAATCCAATTTAAATGAACCCTCTGCTTTTGTCTCTAAGATTGCTGCAGTAGTTATGGCCTTCCAAAACAGACTTAACTGTTTTTAACATCTCAACTCCCATGAAAACCATGGTTTCTGTTGCTACCAAATGTATCTTATTTAAAAATCTGTCATGCTTCTTCCCAGATTGAAATCCTATCTTTGGGATAAAACCCCAAAATTTAAGACAACATTCGGTCACACCTCACTATCTGTACAGTCTCCCCTTCTCTTTGCTTCCTCACACTTTAGGTTTGCACAGAGAAAAACTTGCATTTCCCAAAGGCTCTCTTGTGTTAACAAGTCCCACCCACTCTTCCTTCTGCTTGCACCTGGCTAAGTATTATTAATTCTAAAATCCTCAGATAAGATTTATTGCAGAAATCCTTTCTCAGGCGGAATTGATTATAAGGATAGACATATAATCCCCTCCCAGGGGGAAGAACAACAGAAAAGTGGGTGAAGGGAGACAGTGGACAATGTAAGAAATGAAAATAATAACGTATAATTTATCAAGGGTTCATGAGGGGAGGGAGGGAAAAATGAGGAGCTGATATCAGGGCTCAAGTAGAAAGAAAATGCTTTGAAAATGATGATGGCAACATATGTACAAATGTGCTTGACACAATGGATGGCTGTATGGATTGTGATAAGAGCTGTAAGAGCCCCCAATAAAAGTATTTAATTAAAAAAAAAGAAATCCTTTCTCAATGAAGCATTCCTTTTCCATACCCAAAACTTAGGTCCTCCAACTTTGGGTGTTTTCTTGTCTTAGTTCTCATTATAAATCATTAAATAACCAATTACAGGAAAGTTTGTTTCTGTGATTAGAGTACAAGTGGTTCCCAACTTATGGCACATTTGCATTATAATGAACTGTACTTATAACCAGCTTTTTTTGGGTACATCTTATCCTTAATAATGTATACAACATAAAATGTTACAGCACCTAGTTTGCTAATGGTATGTTCTCAGATGATTACCTGCAGTCATTCAGTGTTATGATTTATAAAAATATAGGCAATAAAGGCAATAAAAATGAAAACAAACAATAATTTACTCAACTTATGTCAGTCTGCCTAATGGAGTTAGCAGAATTGAATCCTGTTATATAAGTCCAGACTTCCTCGTTTCCTTGCTATATCTTCAGTGGCACGTGGCTTCTGTCACTGTGAGTGCAGTGCAAGGAAGGGGAACATCAGGGAAGTTCCTAACACACCCAAGTGGTAACTGACTTCTGCCTGATATCAGCTCCTCGCTACAGAAAAAGCTTCCTGAAGACAGGCTATACCTGGGAAAGTGCCTGACATACAAGAGGGCCTCAAAAAGGTTCATGGAAAAATGGGTTAAAAGATATAGAATTTTTCTACTAATGTTTGGAAGCCTTCTCATATATGGTATTCAACCCATTGTCATAAGAGTCCATCCTGACTCATATTGACCCTACGTACGGTTTTAAAGGCTCAAAGTCAAAACACAGGTTACATCATCGTTCTCCTTCAGAGGAGCTGAGGAGTTTGAGCAAGCCACCAATATGGTAAGCCCATCAATTATTATAAAAACGGCTGAATATCATGTATCTAGTAATGGAAATATAAAAGAAACTAAACAAAGCAATCCATCTATGACTGTTTAGGTTTTATGTCAACTTGATTAGGCCAATATTCTCAGTGATTTGGCAGTTAAGAGCTAATAATCCCCATGATACAATCTAATACAATGTAATCACTTCCATAATGGGTTCTACTATGAGTAGCCAATCAATTGTAAGATCAGGGTGGGGATGTAACACCCTTCCACAGCTCTAATAAAATCGATTGAAATAGTTTTTTTCGGGGGTGTAGTCCACTTCCAATATAAATTGACAATGTGGAAAAGTTTACTTGCCTTTTTGCTGGTCATCTGCATCTGGCTGGTCCTCTAAACTCTAGTTCTTTGGATGTGAGCTCATAACCTGCCATTCACCTCTGCAGCCAGTAGCCTGATGCCTAATGGGTGGGCTGATGTCAAGACCATAAGCCGCTGCAGTTACATGAATCAAGGGACACTTTCTGCCTGACATCTGACCCACTGAATGCTTCTACAATTTGGTGAGTCATTTCTTTGCTATAAACACATACATACACATGTCTATCTCTCTAAAAGCTTCACTCATTTTGTGTCTCCAGAGAATTCAGCCTAAGACACTATCTGAGTGAACAGTAGGAATAGCATCTACTTAGAACACACCTGGGATGAGTGCTAATATCGTTCAGGTCAGTACACTCAGACCTCTCATTTGATGTCCCAGTTCTCATTCTATGACTAGCCTGCATACATGGGTTACCCCTTTTGTTTAAACCCTGAAGGAAGTGAGAAAGGAAAGTCACTGCAGAGTACATTTTAAGTTCTCTGAAGGAATTTATGAATGAGTATCCTAATTCTTGAGAGCTCTGATAGTTAAAGCACTTGGCTTATGATAACCAAAAGGTTGATGGTTTGAATCCACTAGTTGCTCCATGGGAGAAAGCTATGGCGATCAGCTTTCATCAAGATTACAGCCTTGTAAAACCTATGGGGTAGTTCAACTTTGTTCTAAAGGCACTTCACTATGAATTGAAATGAACTTGTCAGCAACTGGTTTTCACATGTATGCTAATTCTGAGCCTTTATATAAGAAAAAAATAAATACAGCAAAATCTAGCAGAACTAGAAAATGAATTACTTACACCGATTGGGATTAACGTCTGAGAAGTTTGATTCTTTTGGGTTAGTATGAACATTTCTGTTTCTAGTAGAATCTTCTCTATTTTGTCCATAACGTTCTTTCCATTCCTAGGGCAGCAAAACAAATGAATATGTAACATCAAAACCAAAACAAACACGAACAACCCACAAGCAGAAAATAATTTTCCACTCTTTATTTTTTTAATTAAACAAAGTTTTATTGAAGCATAAATTATGAAACAGAAATACATTTCAACTGAATACAAGTCCAACACCATGAAGGGAGAGATATAGGCCCCAAACTTCCCCTCCTCTATCGTCACACTTGGATTAGATCACTAGCCAATTGACAGCGTTTTTATTTTCCCAGGGTTTTTTTTTTATGTCTCATAAAAATTTGCATTAACATAAGAATTCTCAAATCTGTTAAAAAAAATCAGACCTCTAGCCTACAAATGTTATCCAATCTATGGGATCCTGTTCAAGGATAAAATCCACTGTGAGTACCAGTCCTCAAAACAGAATGCATTACAAATATTAGATGCTGGGCTACTTACAGAATCAAACTGCTCACACTGAGTAATGCTTCCTCAATGAAGCATTCAGTCAACAATGTGCTTAAATGTAAAGTCAAAACTGTGTGCCCGCCACTTGATTTCAAACCAAACAAATTTGTATGTTTAGAAAAGAGTTTCATTTGCAAATATGGAAGGAACAAAAATATCACCGCATCAATCCATGAAGAATTTTAAAGGGCATGAAACAAACAAATAAACAAAAAACAGAATCAAATTTGCTATTCTCTCAGCTGCTTATATCTCACAGTATATGAAATCAGCTCAAATGGTGCTGGCTCTGGAAAGCCTGTACTTCTATCATTCCCCAGTCAGTGCCTATTTCAGAACATTCCATGCTGTTTTAGAAACAGTATTTCTGCTTTCCTGGGTCATTCTCCTTCTAGCAGCCCCTCACCGACTCCCATCCAACGGTGGTGTAAGGCACACCACGGTAAAGGACAGATGAAGACAGAATTTTAACTTCCCAAGGTGACAAAGATGTAGATTTTGCTTTAAACCAAACTTTTGAGTATATGACTGGAAATGGTTGCTTAAGTTTAAGTGAATGAACCAAACTGAGTTGATTTACTGAGCCCAGCAATCTTTATGTTCAACCTCCCTGCCAATAAATTTGGTGCATTTGTACTGTTGCTCAGCAAGTTAGTAAAGGCCTGGTGCTCACGAGGTCATCTTGTTTACCGGTGAGCAGAGAATGTTGTAAGGCTTCCATGCAGTTAGTTCTGCCAGTGTACTCTTATATCAACCTAAAACACTATGTTTACTTTTCCGTATCTTCCAAAAGAGCTGTGTCAATATAGGTCAAATTCATTTTATTAAAAAAAAAAATTAAACCCAAGGTCTACCCTCCTCTATGGCCCTAATATTAGTATCAATCCACAACATAGTGCTCTATCTGGAGGGACTAGGGGCTGGGGAATTGGGGCTTTGCCCCAGTGAGGAGAGAAGTCAATGGTAAGAATATAAATGCACGAAGCCATGATGTTAAAAAGCAATACACAAAACAAATAGCTGCAATCATTTTCTTGAGAGGACTGGACTCGTGGAAGAAAAACTGGTTCCTGTAGCAAAACCATCTGTATGAAGTATAAATTGGTTTCAATAACATTCATTCAGAGAGCATGTTCTAGAAACTAAAGGTAACTGGATGTACATTTCTTATTACCACTCTTAATATACTGCCATACAAATCAATTCCTTTAAAAAAATCATTTTATTGGGGGCTCTTCCAGCTCTTGTAACAATTCATATGTCCAGTGTCAAGCACATTTATACGTATGTTGCCACCATCCTTTTCAAAATATTTTCTTTCTACTTGAGCCCTTGGTATCAGCTAATTTCCTTCCCTCCCTCCCCCATCCTCATGAACACTTGATAAATGATAAATTATTATTACTTTCATATCTTGCACCATCCGCTGTTGTTCTTCACCCTGGGTGGGTAGGCAGTTATATGTTGACCATTGAGTTCAGTTCCCCCTTTCTCTCCCCTACTTCCCCCTACATTCATGGTATTGGCATTCCCATTATTGCTCCGGAGGGGTTTATTTGTCCTGAATTCCCCGTGTCGAGAGCTCTTATCTGTACCAGTGTACATGCTCTGATCTAGCTGGATTTTTAGGTAGAACTGGGGTCATGATAGTGGGGTTAGGGGGAGGAAGCATTAAAGAACTAGAAGAAAGTTGTATGTTTTGTTGGTGC